TTGAGCAGAAACGGAAATGTTCGTGTGCGTGTTGATGTCTATATTCAAATAACGTTCGTGCGAGCATGTGGACAAGTAATATACGAATTGTCTCATATTCTGGACTGTTTCAGTACCCGTGGCTGGCCCGAATATGTTTCGTTTAACACGTTGAAAACACTTTAATTGGTACAAGATTTCTACTTCATGGAAAGTTCAATCATACCCTTCTATCAGAGATGCATTTCTTGTACAATATTTATTAAAGCCATGGAAGGGTGACACCGGCCCTTCCATTCTTTAGCTCTTCTAATGAAAATAACTATATATATAATTAAATTGTGACTACGTCATAATTACCCAACTTCCTGTTCTATTCCCGTGTTAAATGTTGGATCGTGGAACCTAAATGCCGTTAAAAAAAACGACAGATATGGTCGCTGACAATGTGAATTTAACGAGTTTCGTAAGAACTTCCAGTAATCAGGCGAAAGAATATAAATTAGCCTAACTTCTAACCACCATGATAACATAGAAGTCGATCAGTAATCAATTATACCTAAAACACGTATATCAAAGCCTGAAGCCAAATTCTCAGAATTCTTTGTAAGAAACAGTGGACTAATCCGATTCCGTTTTATGACGAAGAGGCGTCTGCAGAGAGCTGCCTCGTTGGCAGGTAAAAGTTAGAGAAGTTTTTAAGTGTAGAATCTGCGATGGCTACAGCGAATCGGTTTCTCGACGTCATCCATAGAGGATGGTGAGAAAACTTTTCACAGGTTCAGTTGAGAGGTAATCACGGGATAGGCAGAACAATGGTCAATGACTCATTCCCTCTCTCACCCCTCCTCCTTCGCCTCCACATATAGCAAACAGTTAGACAGTCTGTGCACGTGCCATCATTTCTACCTTTCAGTCACTTAACTTGCCAGCTGCGGAAATTATCTGACCACTGACGTATATTGGCTACGTTAGAACTGCTATTCACCATCAAACTATGCTTCACTGGAGAAAATACAGAAAACAAACTACGCCACTGCATGCCAGGTAGAAGGAGTGAGTTCTTAGAACCATAAGGGTAGTCATGCAGACTTGCTAAGAGCTTCGAAAGCAAAATGGTTCGGGGACTGACAAACTTTTTCATGTTATCAAGGCCAATCTATCTAAATAAATAATAATCTTCCTATGCGGTGCGAAGTGGACATTCATATACTTATCTCCAAACAGAACGTGTGATGAAACACTATGAACAGTAATGACATAGATTAAGCCTTTTGTTGATTATCGCGTTGAATAAGCAGCTATCAGTTTCGTGAAGACGAATTGCAGCCCAACTAGGCACTCGCATCGGACAGCATAGCCGTATGTCTTGTTCATTCTGATATGATAGCACAAGAACACCATGTTGTCCGTATTGTTTGCAAGTAAGCGACTTAGTCCCCTTTTTTCGGAGTTACCTTGGCCTTTTTGGAGTTCGAAGTCGATCTTAGCCACTGTACCTCCATGCCTCCGTTATGTTTCGATTCTCATCAGACGGAATGATGCTGGAATTCGATTGAAGCTACGTTGCATATCTGTAGAAACGGATTTCCATGCATTCCTCGTTCATGTTTGCCCGTCGAAATGAACTTGCTTTGAGCTGTCTGAAACTCTGAAGCCGATCAATGCAACCCACAACATTCCTCAGCTTGTTTTTCTACTTCTGCTGCAGTGTTCTAGCATTATCCATATTATAGATCCCTTCGTTACATATCTATACTCGATCCTAGCCAATGCGTTCCATCCTTTAACCTGCTTCTTCCGCGTCATACCTTGTAACCTCTTTTCTGGTACTCTAGCACTTGACGTTTGCAAGCATGTTCGTTCCATTTTCAAGTACCTCACTGCAACTGAATTCGTCTGTTGCCACATCCGTTTGTCTAAGCCAACTCGGTCCAATTAATTATGTCATCTGTGTGAGGAATCAATGTGATAGAAAGGAAGAAATGTCCGTCGTGATTGAGATGTGGGGAGGTCTCGCTTACACTTCCAGTTTCAAGTCCCTCTGTACCCTGCTCTTGTTAAAAGAAAAATTACTCGCGTCAACTGCATTGGTTAGGTATACTACGCTTGACTTCAGCTATAACAGTTTTACGAAGCATCACTTGGTTTCAGGACTTCTACCTTCTTTTCGTAAGACGTTTAGGAGTGCATCATTAATGTTCGACATTGAGACTGGAAAGTACCAGAAAGCACTTCCAGCACTTTTAGTATTTCTGCAGTACTACCAGTCAGTTTTTAGAGCAAATGTCAGTTGATTTGGTTACGAGCAAATCACCAAGCAAATATTAAACAACGACGATCAATTTAAAAAGACCATTAAAAATAAAAACCCTTTGGAGAGTACTATCGTCTGACCCCGTAAAGAAAGAGGAGACTATGAAGATGATTGACCATATTTCTAACGTTTCTACTCAAACGCCGCTAGCTACTAAATTATTTGAACAACCAGCACAAAGTTTATTTTACTGCCAGTCAGGTACTCACATTTTAAATACTTTATTGGACTGAATCCGTTTCCGCTTTGACTACGACTGAATTCCTGTTACCAGAAAGAAATTCAGTTCAATGCCTATTACCGGATAGCAATTTATGAATGTTATTTTAGCATTGCATAATATCGACTGTTTCTTTTCAATGAAACATACTTTAGACTATGCGCATCATGCTGCTTTCCACAGGGTAATAAGCTGTTTTTCTAAGTAGTGCATCATGATTCTGTACTCTCAGCTCCCATTCTTTCTCATAAAAAAGTCACAAAAATTACGAATTATTATCTTCATACTGACAAGGGAGCCTGCTTAAGCAGGCCAGCCGGCTATGGAGCTGAAGCAGTTAAACCCTGCCATTGTAAGAGACCACGTTTCATAGGCGCAACGGTCCTAATGCCGGCCATACGGGACTCATCATGTTATCGGTGTCTCTTGCTTTCATCATTCTGCTGTGCGCTTGAGTTCCTTGTCACATGCCTTTAAGGAATAGACAACAAAATATCAAATACGTGGCCATAAAACTACGTTTTCTTGAAGGGTCATCAACTGCGTGGCATTCTCCAGGTTTACACGGCGTAGTAGCTTGTTTCATTGCTTCTAAGAAGCCGATTAGACAAAATTTTGGCCGAGTATTATATCGCATCACTTGGATAGATTGAGCATAAACATATTCAGACAGCAGCATTAATCCTTCCATTTCGTGTGGATACGTCATATTCTCCCATAGTAATGAATTTTTCCAGTTTCTAAAGGAAACATGAATAGTAAGTTTTCAGAAGCAGTAGACGTATCTTCCGAAAGAAGACCCTAGGGATGTAACTGTTATATTTAATCCACAGTTTATATCTGGTCGGTCCATTTTGATAAAAGAAGAAAAATAGAATGTCGGTCGGAATATCACCGTTGAAATATCGGTCTTTCTTTACTCTTATGATTGTGAAGCCTTTTGGCGCCCTTAATTTTCGTGAAGTTGATGGTGTGGTGCTGATCTCCCTTTCTATACCATCAGCCAGCAGTGCCTTATTGTTTTAAGGCAGAATCTTCAGCAAGCAATGTGTCAAGCGTGGGGTGTAGTCTCTTGTTTCCTTTCAACAGAGTGGGTGAGTGGCCCCTGACCGGGGCTTGAATTCGGAACCTATTGGTTGTTAGTTCGACGTTGTTTGACTGAACAACCCTGGTTTGATGCTATGTGGGATGGATTCCTTACACAAGGGAATTCGTGAATAAGCCACAGATTGCGTCGAGGGAAATCAAATTTGGCACCTCCGGAGTTCTAAGCAGACCTCTAAGACTTTGAGACC